AGCCCTCCATTTATTAGTAACATAACAATTTGGTTATTCAATATGAACTGCAAACTAGTTCTCCAACTATAAGGAAACAGCAGAAGTAACTTCCAACTAATAGAAAAAATAATTTGGTCATTCAACTACATTGAAACAGCAGATTGGTCCTCAAATTACAAGAATCGACAATCAAGCCCTCCAACTATTAGTAAACAACAATTACGTCATCACAATAACTTCAACATGCAATTTGGTAGTCAAAAATTATGAAACGTCAATCCAGCCCTCCAATTATTGATACAGAAAATGAGTCCTCAAACTATTAGAAAACAGAGATTTGGTCATCAAACTAGTATAGAACATCAATCCAATCCTCCAACTATTAGTATACAGCAATTTGGTCACATAAGTAATATGAAACAACAAACTAATCCTCCACCTATTGGAAAAAGTAATTTTATCATCCAATTATACTAAAACAGCAAATGAGCCATCCAACTATTAGAAAACATTATCATATGAAATATCAATCTAGCCCTTGTTTGATTCCCATTCTTTGGAAAAAATGAATTTTTCTACAGCATTTTGACATCATTTCAACCACACATTTTTTAATAAAATAATACTACACGCAAATTCAAAACTTTTTCTTATTTTTTAACCACACATTTTCCATCAATACACTATTCAAAAATTTATTTTTTCCATCAAAATGGGGCTCAAACAAGAGCCTAGTCTTCCAACTATTAGCATACATCAATTTGTTCATGTAACTAATATGAAACAGAAAATCAGTTGTCCACCTGTTAGAAAAAGTAATTTGGCCACCCAACTAACTTCAAACAATAAATTAATCCTCCAACCATAAGGAAACAACAAAATACTCCTCCAACTATTAGAAAACAATGATTTGGCCATCGAACTAATTTAAAACATCAATCTAGCCTTCTAATCTCCAAGTCTAAGTTCTCGTTCTATTTAGAAATATGTGATTTGTTTTCAAACTAAATGAAAAATCAATCCTGCCTAACTATTAGTAACTGCAATTTGGTCATACAGCCCCTGAGTCCTCAAACTAAAAGGAATCAACAAAATAGTCCTCCAACAAATAGGAAAATCCAATTGGTAAACAACAAATTGGATAACAACTATTGAGTAAAATTAAAAAGGTACATATACAAGAAAAAACAGTAAAAAGAGTCATCCAACTAATAAAAACAGTGATATGGTCATCCAACTACTAAGAAATAGCAAAATAGTCCTCTAATTATTAGTAAACAGTTATTTGGTCATTGAATTATTAGGAAACGTCAATCAAGCCCTCCAATTATTAGTAAATAGCAATTTGGTTATACAACTATGTAGGAACAACAAACTAATCCTCGTGCTATAAGGAAACAACAAAAACATCCTCAACTAATAGAAATAGTAATTTGGTCATCGAAAATGAGTCCTCGTATGATAAGAAAACGTCAATCAAGCCCTCCATCTATTAGTAAATAGCAATTAGGTCATTCCACTAACTTCAACCTGCTTTAGTCATCGAACGATTATGAAACCTCAATTCAGCCCTCCAATTATTAGTAAATAGCAAATTGGTGATGCAACTATTAAAGAACAGCAAACAAGTGAGGCGATCTATATGGAAATGACAAAAGTGTCCCCCAACTTATCAAAAATAGTGATCTAGTCATCCAACTATCAAGATTCATTCCAGCCCCTCCGACTATTAATTAACACAAATTTGTTCATCCAACTACTAGTGCACAGCAGACAAGTCTACCAACTATCACAAACAGTGATTTGGTCATAAAACTTATAAAAACATCAAATCAATCCTCCAACTGTTAGTAAATAGCAATTTAATTTCTCAATTAGAACTGCATTTAAGTTAATTTATATGGATTTAATACATATTTGGACCAAAATTAGAAAATTCAAACAGTAATTTACTTTCCATTTTTGAAGTTGCAATTGATTTCATTATTTTTTCTTTAAAAAATGGAAAAAATACTAGCTTGAATAGAACTAGAATGGATAGGCCCCAGCCTAATTTAGGAGTGAGCATTTTTTCTCAAAACCGATGGAATTGGAGCGGAACCATTTAGAATTGGCAGGTTCGGTTTTGGATCTTCTAAAAAATGATTTGTTTTTGGGACAAATTATTAAGAATCAATCGGTTCCGATCGGATTCCCAATTCTAGTATAAGAGCCGTCGGGAACCGAACAGTTCTCATAAATTTTTTTATTTTTTTGGTAAAATATATGACTCAATCTCCAATCACTTGTATCAAACTAATCGGGTTCCTTCTTCATTTTAAACTCTAGCACTTTCCTTCTTCTCTTTGATTCTCTCTTCTCATAATTCTTTGATTAATTGATTCTCAAGCCAAATTAAAATATTGGGTAAATCTATACCTAAATAAATTTATTTACAGTATATAATTTCATTTTTAAGATGCGAAATTTTTATTTTGATTACATAGTTGTTGATCTGATAAAAACTTTTCATCTAAATTTCTACAAATTATAATTGAGGGAATCAAAAGTTGCAATAAAACCCCCAAATCTAATGCCATCCGGGTTGCCAAGCCAAGATACGGGTCGGATTTCTCGTTGCCCAATTCACAAGCTCAGAAGAATCCAGAAAACATAATCATCACAACCTTATTATTTTTACCGCATTGATTGCTACGAGGAATAAAGTGAGTTATTTCATTCCAATAAATTTTATCTAATCTTTCAGGATGTGGTTTTCTCTCTCTCAAATTTGGGAAAATTATTTTATCAAAATGACAATCTGTAAAATGTGCAATAAATAAATTACCCATTAAAGGTTCAAGATACATAATAATAGATGGTAAATCAAAATCTACATAAATCTCAAGTTTTGTTAGGGATCCATTTTAGTACGTTGTGGGGGGTGAAATAAGAATTTGAACAGTGCAATAAAAAATTAGCAGATGAAAAATATTATGTTCAAGACCAAATGCAAGTTGCAAAGGTGAATACTGATAATAGGCAAGGTCTTATACGTGCGATGATACATAATGTAAAATGACATGATACCAAACAGAAGTTTAGAGTTTTGTTTGCATAAATAATAGTCTAGTAATAAGTTGTAGGCTTTTAATAAACGACTCTGCTGAATCATTTTGTTTATGGACATGCGCAACCAAATGTTCAATTACAATCCGAATTGATATACAATAATTGTCGAATTTTTGTGATCTAAATTCACTATTATTGTCAAGACAAATAGTCTTGATTGAGTAATCAGTGGACTGCACTTAAAATTTTATGATTTGAGCAAGTAATCTAACAAATGTTACGTTCCTATTGAAAAGTAGGCAAACTTGTGACAATCTAATAGAATAATCAATTAATACCATAAAATAACGAAATAGTCCATACGGTGAGTGTGTTGACCCACATATATATCTATAAATTCTTTTCAAAAAAGTTGAAGATTCAATATTGATCTTTGTAGTTGAAGGTCTAATAACTAACTTATCTTGAAAACAAGTTACACATGGATAATCATTAGATAAAAGAATCTTCTAATTCTTCAAAAGATGTCTATGTGAGTTGTTTATTATTCGACACATCATTATAGCTCTTTGATGTCCAAGTCGATTATGTCAAAGTATAAATTTTTTTAGGTCAACAAACTTTTGGTTCGTAACAATATTTGATTCAACAATTTTTATAAATGTATAATACATGCCACAATGGAGTGCACGAAATTTTTCTTTTATCTGTTTCTGACCAACTATAAAAGAATCTATGCAAAGATATTCAATATCATTTTCTTGTATAGTCTCAATAAGATATCCATTGCAACAGATATCTTTAAAACTAAGGGCGCGTTTATTTACAAGTATGAAATTTGCATGGAAAGAAAATAAACTTTAAGTAATTCAATTGCCTAGCATGGAAATTATTAATTAAATGTGTTTGACTGATTTAATTTTTAACCTAAAAATTATTATACTTGTCCATTTTTTTATTGGTTGATAGATGAGAGAGAGAAAGAGATAGTGAATTCCTTGGAGAATAAAATCCTACCCCCCCTAAAGAAATTATTTTCCTTGATTTTGAGGAAAATATGGTCATATGACCAAAAGTAGGAAAATATTTTTTTTGGAAAAAATAGCAATCAAACAACACAAAGTAGGAATTTGGGTAAAAAAAAACACATTTTTCATAAAAAATATTGGCAATCAAATGCACTCTAAGTGAATTTCTTTTGAATTTGCAAGAATAAAGTGCATCGTCAATATACAATTTTTTCATTAAATGATTTGCATATTTAAAATGAGGTATCTTGTTATTATTGGAGGACACCTTAGAAGGAAAGAAAATTATTATGTAATATGTAAGAAAAAGTTAATAACAAAAGCATAAAACAACACCTAAAAATACAAATGCACATAAAATTATTCAGAAACTTGTAAGTATTTACTTTCTTTAGGTTATTTTATCATATTTTATTGCTAGTGAAATTATACATGAATTGCATCGATAATTCCTATAAAATTTCAATTTATTTTTTGTCCACTTTGTCGGCCAAACAAATATTATCAATTGGTACTATAATTCATTACAAGTTTCCATTCAAGGGTCTATACCATTATTTGGAACTAGTGGATAAAATTATCAATGCATGCCAATTAAAAGCTAAACTACAAACCAAGATGTAGGACCTTTTGCGTGTTAGACATCAGAATTCAATGAGTACATTGGTGATCGACTTTTCAATGTAGTACAGTTAATATTCAATAATAAAAACATAAAAATTGTTCAATTTTTTGTTAAATTGTTACACCATCAGAAAAACCATGCCATTTCACATTTGAGAAGCAAAAAAACCTGATTCCATAAAATTAGCTACACGTGGGCGAAGTGAAAATTCAATAAAAATTTGGATACTATTCATCATTAATAAAACGTTCATTTAATATCAAACTTCAAATATTTTATAAAGTTGGAGCTCGACTTGCTACAAGAGCAATTAGTGACCAATGGTAAAATTTTCTTATATTTATGTCGTAATAAAATATTATAACTTTTACAATTCCTTACTACAAACTCCTCCTTTATATGAGCTCAACTACGATAATGCAAACACACAAACATATTACTTTGGAAAAGCTTAAAAAATGTTAGAAAATTTAGAAAGCATGAAATTTCATAACAAATGATCGTGTCACAGAGTGGTAGAAATCCTTTTACGTTTGTCTTTTTTTCTTTTTGTACCCTTGTTGAATTCCATCTATATCTATGTATACTTCAATCTTCTTCTTCTTCTGTATCGATCCTATCCCTTGTTATTACTTTGAGCAATTCCATTGCCATTTGCAGGCAATGGACCCATCTCTGTCTCGGCAGTCTCCGCCTCGGCCCGGAATTTCTTGTAGATATCACTTTTATAAAACTTTCTAGTCCTTATCACCAAAATAAGTGAAACAATTGCTCCAAAAACAGTAACTGCAGTGATTATCAAGAAAGCCAATCTAAAGCATTCCACCCCATTGCAATTCAAGTCCTCTCCAGGCTCCCTGACCCAGCCCATGGCCCGCATTTGCTTCTCGGCTTCCTTATCATACAAATTTCCGGCCACCCTCACATTCAGCAAATATGATCCAATCGGGCTTGCCACGGCACCAAAGTTGTACAGTGTTGAATAGTATTTAAGTCCAAAAAGTTCAGAAATTATCGCGAAAAGCAACGGCCATTGGGCTCCAAAGCAAAATCCTATGATCACAGATGCAATATAGAGACCATTTGGGACATTAAATGCAATTAACAAGTGACCTATGCATGAAATTATTAGTGTTAAAGTGAGCATAAGGGGCCTTGGGAATTTGTATTTGGTTAAGAAATGTTCAGACAGGAAACCTGAAACTACTCGACCTAGGTAGTTCCAAATGCTTACCAGGGAAACAAATGTGCTAATACTTTTTTTTGGATAGCCAAGTGACGATCCAATCTGTCCTAAATTGTCTATTGCTGTCAAGGTTCCTCCAACCCCACAAATAGTTGCAAAAAATAAGATTAACATGTCTACGCTAAAGAGTGCTTGAAGGATTGTATAGTCCTCCCCTCGGTCCGGTGGCCCGAATATACTCCTAGCATTCCAACAGGAAATTTCTTGCTTTTGTTGGGATTCAGAGGTGGTGGATGTTGGTGGTGGTGGTTGAGAAATAGGTAGTGGAGCCACCACGTCGGAGTTTGGTGGTTTTTCTGTCACAAGCTTCAACTGTGAAACTGAAAGATCCTCCAATTCCTGCTTTTTCTTCTTCCAGATATAAATTTCTTCTTTTAAAACAACAGCAACTGGTAGAAACAGCAAAATAAGAACAATTGTTGCGCATACACCATACTCACTCCTTGTAAAATCAAGCCTTTTCTGGAGTATGATAATTACCATGAGAAATCCAGCTAAACCCAAAGATATATACAGAAATCTGTAGAAAACTTTGAGTTCATGTGGAATCCGAACAACTTTCAATATCCTGATTGTTCGAAGAAAAGCGAACGAAATAGCGGCCGGTAGCCAACCTATGAGCAAAATAAGTGATGTTAAATCATCCCCATAAATTGCATGGTAGATTTGAGTGATGATTGCACCGCTTAGGCCAACAAAACCCTTGAGAAGGCCTAAAACTGCGCCTCGGCTCTCAGGGAAGTTCTTCACGGCGGTGACAAGGGCTCCGGTGTTGGCAAAAGACTGAGAATTTGCACCGATACATATGTATAAACACATGTGCCAAACTTGGGGTGTTGCAATTTTTTTGGATACTGCGAGCCATATCATGAAGTAACCAAAGAAGTTGAGGACTGCTCCGATGGATAGCACCACCCACGGCGGTGTTACCTCGTTGATTAGGCCGGAAAGGATGCCGACATTGGAGCCTAAGTCCTTGAAGAAGCTGAGCAAGTTTAGGGTCGTTTGATCATAGCCAAGTGAGGATTTTATCTCGGCAGAGTATAGGCCAAACATGTAGGTGGCACCGGCCGCAGACATGACGAGGATGGTGGCAAATACCATGAACCACCGGCCGACAAGGACCTGCACTGCGAAGCTCCTCGTGTTTGGCCAATCACCACTACTACCACCACCGGCAAAAGCCATTTTTCTCTCTTTCTTTTGAGTTTTTTTGTTGTGCTTGTGTGCGTTCTAGTTAATTAAGGTAGTTGCATTCTTAATATTGTCGTGCTACAAAATTGTGCCGTTTTATAGTAATAAATAGTGTGTGTGCGCGCAGAGACTTCATAGTTGACTTATCTAGCAAGCGGGTTTCTAGGAAAATAACATTAAAATAGAAGTACAGTGTATTCAATTATTGCTAACTACAAGTTGAAGACTTTTCAAATCAATTACGGGAAGAAAGGGACAATGCTAGTATAAACTTTAAAATTTATCGACTTATCAATGCAACAGGAAAATTTAAAATCGCTTCAAAGTCTTATGTGGTTATATAGATTAAATCCAAAGTTAGAAACCGTTAAGAAAAAGTAAAGAATGGGTTGCTTCATCTCAATAAATTTATTTTTGAATGGCAAGTTTTACTCTTTGACATTTAACCCTTGATCCTCCTGATCGTTTACTTTTTCTAGATCGAGCCTAATTTTAAATAGA